AGCTTCTTCAGACTAAATGCATAAAAATGCAAACATATTCACCAATGTACATTCATGCCACTATAAAAGAAAATTTGTCATGTGAGTGAATTTTCAACAGAATTCTGCTTGTGCAAGCAGTGGGTCCAGTTTTCACCGTCTAACAATTAACTGACACAGGCATGACATCAGAACATGATGCAGTAGTGCTCTGACTCAGCACAGATTATTTTAACTAAAATAAGTGCGGGGAGGGAGAACTTATATAATGCAAGGTTACAACAAAAATAAGAGTGACAGATAATAGCTAAATATAGATGTAGCTAGAGGGTAACTTGAAGACAACAGGAAAAATATGAAGGGTATTTAAAGAAATGCAGTGCAGTCATTTGTAATAATGCCACACAGCTACGATTCTAGAATGCAGGCTAGGTTTTCATTATGGAGACTTAAAAGGACTAGAAAAAGGACTAGCATGCCCCAGCCAACCACTGACTTTCAGTCTCACCTAGCTTATGAGGTTGTTGGGTTACTTTGTAGGGAAAAGGTAGGATATAAATATAATAAATAAATGAGTAAATAACAGATTAGAAAAGAATAGGATAATGATAGGATAGATCTGTGGCTCATTTTATATGCAAACCCTAAAAACAACATCTAGCATAATTCTGTAAGCAGCAAAAAAAAAAAAAAAAAAAAAAAAAATAAAAACTCTACAATATTAATAGCACAATGCATTCTTTATGTCAGCACCAAATGCCAACCGGTACAAAAACATTTAATTCAATCATCTTCCAAATGTTCTAGCAGCTGCCTGCTCAGTCTCTATTGGAAGGAAGTTCCATAAGGAAGGCACTTCCACAGGGGAAACCACCCTGCTCCTGGTAGTAATCAGCGTCATGCCCAATTGTCTTATTCAAAGGTCCTATCACATGGAAGGATTCATACGGGAAGAAGTGCTTCCCAAGAATGCCAAGGCCATTTCAAGCTTTCAATCACAAAGTAAGCACCTTGAAATGGCTACCACATTCCAGATCTCCTGAAGCTTCCTAATAGCCTTCTAATCTTCCATGGGACATATTGGGATAATATTCAGGTCTGCAAATTATCAGGAAATCCATTGCAGCATCTGGACCCATAGAGAAAGAAAAATAAATTATCATCAGCTATCTTGAGATTGCCCCCCTAGATGATCTCTCCCAGTTAAGTGGTTTCATACAGAGGTTAAACAGAATGGTATAAAAGATTGAACCCTATGGCAGTCCACGGGGTAATTGACAAATGGTTCTATCTAAAAGGTAGAAGCAGAAATACACTACACCATTCACCCAAGTAGCCTCAAAGGTCATAGTGGTGTCCAGCAGCAAAAAGAGTTTGGAAAAATAACCAGGGTTACACCAGTTGCATTCTCCTCTCAATCTGATTACCCAGCAAGGTGACCAAGGCAGTTTTGGTTCCCAGATCCAGAAGGAAGTTACACTGAAATAGAGCTGGAAAATTAGCTTAATCTAAAAGCAAGTGTGAACCTTCTGTGGCTATGTTGTATGCAAACAGCTTCTCCAGAAAGGATAAATTACAGAAGGATATATAGTTCTCCAAACAACAAGGACCAAGTAAGGGGTTTGGGTTTGAAAGAGTGGTTTAGCCACCACTGGCTTTAGTGGAGTAGGAACAACATCTTACCACAAGAGAACCTTTAGCGCTTGCATTAGCAAGGCAGCCCATCAGCCTTGATAGGGAAAAGCAAGGAGCACAAATGTAGGCCAAGCCTTTCCAGACACTCCTTCCATACCTTCAAAGGACATCATTCAAACTACCACCCAACAGGAACATAACACAGACTTAATCTAGGTTTATGCAACCAGGTTAAGACCAACTGTAACTGACTGTAGGAGATTGTGGTCAAATCTCCTGATCCCTTTTTTAAACATGTAAAAGCTGCCATGGGGCAGCCTGAACTGGACTAACAACAAGGCAGGATAAGTTTTACTCTTCATTTACCAAATTGATATTAATTCCTCTCAAAAGGTACTTTCAGGCCCACTAGGGAAAAATATTGAATTCTGCTTGCCTTCCACCCCCCCCCACCCCGCCCCCTGCCAGCAGGTCTACTAGCAATTGACATGAGATACAGGGTGGGATAAAAGGGCTGCTGCTTTGCGCCATCTCTCTCTTTCTCTCTCTCTCTCTCTCTCTCTCTCACACACACACACACTTGTTTAAAGCTTATTTTTTATTTACTTAAATCATTTGTATGCCGCCGATTGTGCCACAGCACCTCTGGAGAGCTCACCCTTTTAAACAAGCTTAAAAATGGCATGTGTTGTTTGGCCCTCAGTCACAGTTAAAACCACAAGGACCCATGCCAGTGTTTCAGAGTCCAGAGCTTGCTCCAGAATGCATTGCCAGACATGTCACATGCAAGTGGTTTGACAGTTGCCTTGGAGCATCTGCAGAATGTTTTCCCTCCATTTAACACTTTGCTACCAGAGCCAATCTACCCAGAGCTGGGGATAGCATGGCCTGCAGCCACGAGATCTCTATTTATCTGTCATGAGTTACAAATTGCTACCCTTCCATCCTTGTTATACTAGGAAAGGTCATTCATTGGAAGGCGGATGATTATTCCATTCTCTTTCAAAGGGCAGAAAGCACTACAAGCAGTAAATCCTATTGAACTGAATGGACTTACCCTCAAGTTATTTGGCCAAGGGTTTCCATTATATTTATATATATATATATATATGAATGATTCAGCCAAGCAGCTTGTGGTCTGAGCATGGAAAACTATAGTTGTGATGTCAAAATGTGATAGAGTTTAGTTGGATGTAGAGACATATCAAATACACTATGCATATGATGGCAGCATTCAGTCCCAGGGACAGCTCAAAACAAGAACCTGGTACATGTAATGCATTGAGCCATGTTGAAGCCATGGGAGCTTAGTGTGTAGTCTGAACCCAGTGTCCCTCCCACCAGCAGGGTGGCTTCTTTGTAGCTACAAAGCCACCCCAGCAGGTTTCTTAGCTATCTCTGGCCCACTGTCTTGTTCAAACCTGGATCATGCACTAAGCCCAGAGGAAGCCACAAAGTGTACCAAGTCAATTGGCAAAAGTGGGAGAAAGGGAAGACAAGGAGGACCGTGCTTCAGGGCATCCACTGTGCTGGACCATCTCTTGGGCACATCACAGGCCCAGATCAAACAAACCTCTGTGTAGCCTTCCCTGCAGGGTGTCGTTATGTTGTGTGAACCTGGTTGTTTTGTTGTTGGGGGGGAAGTAAATACCAGCTAACTCCCACCCACTCAAACCAGAACCAACCAAACAAACAAAACAAGGCACATAACTAGTGCCTCAGACTGGTCAAACTATATTGGCATCTTATACAAACTACTTTCTGGAACTAAGAATGCCTTCCTGGTAGTAAAAGAATAACAGTGGCTAATAAATGCACTCCTATGTGTACTTGTTGTTGTTGCTAGTTGCAAAGTCATGTTCGACCCTTCACGACTCAAGGGACAACACTCCTCCAGGCCTTCCTGCCCTGCACCATCCCCCAGAGTCCACTTAAGCTCACACCAACTGCTTCAGTGACTCCATCTAGCCACCTCATCCTCTGCCATCCATCCCCCTTCTTTTGCCGTCAATTGTTCCCAGCAAAGGAAGGACTTCTCCAGTGAGTCCTTCCTTTTCATTCGGTGGCCAAAGCATTTGAGTTTTATCTTCAGTATTGCCTAACGACTCGGAGGAGTCGTTAGAGGGCCAGGAGCCCCCAGCGACGATCAGACTTTAGAACAGGAAGATTTCTACTTGGTGCCCATGGGGGGGGGGGGGGGTTTGTGCCTTCTAAAGAGCAGTCAGGGGTGATCTCCTTTAAGACTGACTGTACTTACATGGGAATAATTTTCATTGAGCTAAATGCAACTTCTGAGCAGATGTGCACAGTATTGCACTGTAAATAATAATGTCTTGTTCTTTCAGGACATCCACAGCAGCTGTCTGAGGTAGCATTTTGCCTAATAATAGGAAGCAATAGGTTAGCAAGGAGTAGCCTTGCTCAAATCACTGAATATCTTCTAAAGGGGTAGCCACATTAGGCTATGACACAAAACAAAAGAAACCACAAAACCGAACTTGTAGCACCTTAAAAACTAACACAGTGATTTTGGCACGCAATTACTTTTGCCGGCAAATCCGATGCCTTAGCCTTTAAGGAGCCACAAGATTCTTCGCTGATCTCGTTTAAGCTCGATCGCGGATCTCGGTGCAACCTTTTTTTAGTATACAGCCAGGGGCCAGAGCCAGCACCCGCTCTGCAGTTTATCACATATCTGTAAAGCGAACTGAGTCGCGTTAGGACCCTGCAGCAACCGCCGCTTATCTCAGTCACACACTGCATTGCTATTAGCGCACATTGGCTGGGTTGCAGCCGCCGCTTGCTCCTCCTGTTGGATTCTCTGCGCCTGCCTTCCAAGAGCTTGCGGGCGCGTACAGGGACGGAGAGGGGAGTGGAAGCCCGTTTCCTTTCGTTTTATTCAAATACACAGCAGCAGCATTTCTAGCAGCTTTACGGCGTGCGTAACATTATTACATTACTGGTGGGTCTGCTATCGCTTTGGAGATCTGCCCGGCTACGGCGCCGGTGGGACCGTGCATGCGCCTGCGCGGGCGTGTGGTAGGCTGTGCAAGAGCAGGGATTTGGATAGCGTTGCCTGAGCCTTGTACGAGAGAGAGCGTGGCGGGTGCACAAAGAGCGTAAGGCGTCGTCCTCCCTAGGTTTGGTTGGTAGTTATTGTTGGTGTTAGCGCGCTCCAGTCAGTTGGGATTTTGGCCGAGCTTCTGGGGGGCGGGGACGCGCTGGCACCAAGCGGAACAGACGCGGCGTCCCCACCTCCGTCTCAGCAGAGAATGGTATGACTGAGGGGCGCGCTGTCAGCGGCGGCGGCGGCGGCGGCGGCATCTCCCTCCTCTCCACCCTGTGCGCGCGCCTAAAGCTGGATGGAAGCAGCCTGGAAGCTTGTCGGTCCCGCAGCGACTAACGACGGGCATCCCCAAGTGGGCGCTCTGCGAGCTGAGCGCCGGTGGTTGCCTTTAAGCTGGGAGATGCGGAGTGGAGAGCGCTCGAGGGGCGCGTTACGGTGCTTGCGCGTGCGTGACTGACTTAAAGAGGGCGACTGGCTCTTCCCTGATGGACACGAAGTCCCGGGCACAGCTTGGCGTGGCTGCTTCTCGGAGGAAAGGGCTTGTCCAAGGCGAGCCGCTGAGGGACCGCGCTCTCCCGCCCTCGTTTTGGCGGGATGTTGAGCTAGGCATCCGCTCCAGGTCATCTTGCAGGGCAGGGGGTGTGACGAGGAGAGACGGCTAGGAGGCGAACACTGTGGGGTTCCCCCCCCCACTATTCCTTCTATTTATTTATATATTTATTGGGGAGCGGGGGAGAGGGGGTGTTTGCTCTGTGGGCGCCCAAGCTCTTAAATGGCCAGCCCCCGGAGGTGCATTGAGTTGGAGCATTTCGAAGAGAGGGACAAAAGGCATCAGCGCTCGAGCTCCCGCCGCGGAGGGGGCAGCTCCACTTGCAGCAGTGGCTCGGGCCCCAAAGGGAACGGGCTCATCCCCAGCCCGGCGCACAGCGCCCATTGCAGCTTCTACCGCACGCGCACCCTGCAGGCCCTCAGCTCGGAGAAGAAGGCGAAAAAGGCGCGCTTCTACCGCAACGGGGACAAGTACTTCAAGGGCTTGGTCTATCCCATCTCCAGCGACCGCTTCCGCTCCTTCGACGCCCTCCTCATCGAGCTCACCAGGTCACTGTCTGACAACGTCAACCTGCCCCAGGGCGTCCGTTGCATCTACACCATTGATGGCAGTCGGAAGCTGTCCAGCCTCGATGAGCTGGTGGACGGTAAGGAAAGCAGATACCTGGGCCTTAGTGGGAGAGGGAAGGAAGGCGAGCACTGTGAGCATAAGAAGGCTTACTCGGAAGGAGGCTCAGCGAGTTACTTCCAGGGTAGCGTGCGCCTAAGTGGCTGTCAAGGGCCTTTTCACCAGAGAGAGAGAGGTTGCTGTGGCCCATAGTTCTGGGATGATGTCACTCTATTCCAGCTGATTCATATTGCCTCTGCTCATAAAGGAGGCATCTCTCAGGAAAGGATCCCTCCCAAAACTCTCCCTCTTGCCTGGCTGGGAAACTATACAGTTTTGCAGCCTTTATGGCATTATCACCTGACTCATTCAGATCAGGGGTTCCAGTCAGAATTCCAGTCTACATGTGATACTCATAACTTTTCTTGCCACATCTTCTTTTTCCTTAATTTAGAAAATCTGTCAAGGAGAGAAAGGACAGCACGTTGCACAGCTGCTGCATAGCATAAAGATAGTTTGTGGGGCCATTGCTGTATCACTTATTTATTTTATTGTTTGATTAATCTTATAAACTGCTTCAATAGCCCTACTGGACTTTCTAAAACACTTGCATGTTTATCTTTGTATTCAATACGATCTTGGATCATTGTATATGAAAATAGCATTACAATTGGCCATTCTTCTTCAAACTCTAAATATATAGTCTTTGGATTGTGAAAGATTTTTCCACTGACAAATGTGTGCAAGATACACATACCTCATAGAGAACAAAACTTGCATATTTAAGAACCTGGAATAGACTGAATAATACGCTGGAGCCAATTTGGCAATGACACCTGTAAGTATGCTTTATAAAATGTCATGACTGCCTATTACTTCTGGTCACATGGTCACCATAGTGTGCTCTATTGAGTATATCTTGTATATTACAGACTACCAGGAAGACTGGGGTTGGCATAGCAGCAATTTTAGGATTTTGTTCTAGTGTGCAAGAAAGGTCTTCATTACAAGAATCCATCCATTCTTAATGTATTTTAAAGCATGGTTTTATGTTTCTGAGGTCCTTAACTGTGAAGAATGTGTGGTTTGGTTTGAATGTTTGGCCACTGTTACATAGTTGCCTAGTACCGTCTTGTCACTTTAGGGTTAGATAACTTGATGCCAGCTTGTAGTCCTTAGTATATAGGGCAGATAGAGTAATGACTGGGAACTCCTATGTACAGACACTGACTTCATTCACACATAACATTAACTCATGATTTGTCTGGCGGAAGACAAAACAAATTTTGCTTTGATTTTGCAATCTTTGGGTGGTTTCTTTCTCTGTTCCTTCACCCACACCCTCTCTTTATTCCAAATGCTTTTTGCAGCACTGTAACAGTGACATGTTGAGAGGCTGGGTTTTTGAACTCTTGCTCCTGCCTCTGGCAGAACAACCCATGGCTCTGTCATAATAACAAATCACGTTTCAAATTACCCAAAATCTTTTTGGGTTATTCATGGTCAACAAACCATACTTTATTAGCATGGCAGGATTCACACAGTTAAGAATTCAGAATTTAATCCATGAGTTAAATAACTGGCTGTGTATTTTGTGTTAATCAGGTGCCTCCGTATAATGCTTTCACTATGGGTTGTTAACCACAAACAGGTCAGGAAGCAAACCCATGATTTGTTGCTGGATTGTGAACTCTGAATTGATTGTGATTAAAATGCATAGAATGAGTTCACACATGACAGCCTGCACTCAAGGTTGAGTATGGGTTAAACTCTGGGTTGTCATTGAACCATGGATTGTTGTGCTGTGTGAGCCTAGCACATTAAAAACCAAGATTCATTACCCATAAACAATCAGGAGTTCAGAACAAAAAACAACAACAACAATTCTTACTTAACCTCAAGGGTGAGTCCATAGAAAAATAGAATTCTAGAATAGCAGAATTGGAAGGCGCCAATAAGGCCATTGGTTCCAGCTCCTTGCTCAATACAGGACTCCAAGTCAAAGCATCCCTAACAGATGGAGGCATTCAAGATGCACCTGGACATACTTGGGTGAAGTATGGGAGAACCTGCAACTTCCCTAGGTAATTGGTTTGATTGTCATATTGCTTTAACAGGAAATTTTTCCTGATATCCAGCTGGAATTTGGCTTCCTGTAACTTGGGGTCATTTTTCTGTGTCCGATACTCTGCAGTGATCAAGCATTGATCCTGCCCTCCTCTGCATGACAACCTTTCATGTACTTGATGAATGCTATCATATCTTCCTTTAGTTTCCTCTTCTCAGGGCTAAACATGCCCAGTTTTTCAATCTTTCCTCATAGGGCTTTGTTTACTTTCCTCTGATCATCTCTGTTGCCCTAATCTGAACCCTTTCCAGCTTGCATCTTTCTAAACTGTGGTCCATAGAACTGGTTGCAGTACTCAAAGTGAGGCCTAAACTATGTTGAGCACAGGGGTAATAATACTTCCTGTGATTTGGAAGTGATATTTCTATTAATGCTGCTCAAATAATGATTACCACTGTTGCAGCCACCTTGTTGATTCATATTCAGTTTGAAATCAATAATCCTGCCACCCTTCTTGCTTGCATTGTTGTACTAAACATTCCGCGTCATTTAACTATGCATTTGGTTTCTTTTTCTTAGATGCAGAACTTGGTACTTGCCCCTATTGAATTTCATTCTGTTTTTTTCAGCTCAGTGCTCCAGTCTATCAAGATCACATTGAATCTTGTTTCTGTCTTGCAGGGTATTGGCTGTCCCATTCAATTTTATGTCATTGCAAATTTGATAAGTGTTCCCTGTACTTCCTTATCCAAATCATCAATAAAAATGTTGAAGATCAAACCCTGGGACCAAACCTGTTCATTACCTCTCTCTAATTTGAGAAGGTGCCATTGACGAGCACTCTTTGAGTCCAATTATGCAGGCAGCTGCAAATGTACCGTGATAGTTGTTACATCTAGCTGACTTAGCTAATTTGCTAATCAAGATATCATGGAACACTTTGTCACAATATGTGCTAAAGTCAAGATATATTATGGCCACAGCATTCCCATGATCCATCACAATGAAAAAATGAAATCAGATTAGCATGACAAGATTTGTTCTTGAGAAATCAATATTGGCTTCCAGTAATCACTGTATTGTTTTCAAGATATTTGCAGAATGACTGCTTTATAACCTACTCCATAATTTTCCCAGGGATTGATGAGAGACTGACTGGTCTGTAGTTCCTAGGTTCCTCCTCTTTTGCCTTTTTAAAGATAGGGACAGCATGTTGTGCTATGTGAATCCAACCATTGTTAACCATAGCACAGTGTTTGCACCTAAGAGCAACCAACCCACAATTCAGCAACAGCCCATACTCAACCTGTAGTCTGACTTATTTTCAAGCCAGGTTAGCATTTGCATGTGAATCTATTTGCAAGGCTCTTGTTGTAGGAACCATCAGATAGTATCATACAACTTACTGGAGAGGATTGTTATAAAGCTCTGTTACTCACTGAGAATGCCCTAAAGCTTCTTTGCTCATTATAGTACCCTCCAGATTTGTTAGATTATAACTCCCTGTATTACTGATGATGGAGCTTGCTGACTAAGGCTTGTGAGAGTTGAAGTTCAAAGCATCTCTAGGGCACTAGATTGGAGCAACCTGCTCCAAAGTAATGGTGTAGCCAGTCTGCCTAAACATTATGAGAAATAATATTTCTTTGCAAATTTACAAAGAGAATTCAGATAAGTCAGACCCAAGTGATATGACTCACTCCTATATCCTCTTGCCTGGTGTTGATGAGCTCTCTTCCTGAAAAATTGTTCCAGAAAACCACAAGGGGTCAATTTTTGTTTGATTAGTTCATTGTTTCATGAAACCCTTTCAATTCTGAAACATATAGCTAAGTTTTGGATTGTGTTCTGGGAGCCTTTATCATTATTTGTTGAATAAAATATTTTAATTTATGTTTTTATGTAAAAGTGTACATATTTACGCCAAAGTAAGTTCCATTAATAGTCATTGTGACATACTTCCTAATTAGTTTATTTAGAATTTTCAGCCTTGATATTCCAACTCAGGTATTTTCACTCATACTAATGAGAGTTGACAGCAAAGGATCTTGAGCCACCTTAAAGACCATGGTCATAAGCTTTTGTAGACTAGTCAGACACATGAAGTATTAACCTCCACTAGCAATACATATTGTTATGGAGGAGGAGATGTAAATAGTTGCACCAGGGGATGACTATATTGTAAGATGCCCTTATGGTTAATCTGGTAGAATTAAAATCAAATGAATAAATAAAATAAGGGACCCAGAAATGTAAGAAATTCAACTTTTATTGCATTACACAGAGTTTGTAGATATTCAAGAAAACACAGTATTTACATTTTGAAATCATGTAATCATTGCATAGAATTCTAATGCTGCCATTTTAATTGGGACATATGTTTTCCTGAGTTAAAGAAATAGAAATCTGCATTCACAAGCAAATATCTGAATGTCATCTAGTTAGGGAAGCATCTTATAGACTGACACATTTATATGAGTCAAGATTTTTCTTGTTTCATATGAAATCAGCAAGGCACATTTAAATAGCAGACATGCAATAAAGGTCCCCCTCAAATGGTGCTGCCACAGATTCTGAAATGAGCAGGTATCTCTGATGACCTACAACATGTTATATGCATTTCATTTATCAGCCTTTATCTGCAAATTCTGTGATTTGCCAGTATATTGGGCATCAGTCGTGGCAGTAAATGCATGGATGGATGGCATTTAAATAAGCATATTGATATGCCGGTTTCTTTTCTCTAATGAGAAGTATTACTATAGAGCATTGTTTCCTTGAATAAAAGGAAGGGTTGCACTGCTGCTCATTAATCAAGAGAAGTGGGGAGGAGAAAACTTTGAGACCAATTACGTGCTAATTGTAAGCCTAAGAGATCTGGTCTTTTGTTACTGGCTGACTGTTTAAATGGCATCAAATTATGTTCAGACATAATGTTCACTAGTATGTAGGTCACTAATGTATTTCCCTCT